ATCAAGTAGCTTTTGGAATAAAACACCAATTTTTTTAAAATTAAACACTATCTAAAGATTTGCATCGAAGCGTTTATTTTTGATAGTGATTTTAATCACTGTCAGATATCATTATACTTGATCCAACTATACCACGTCACAACTGTGCCGCGACCCCCCTGTGCTGGGTTTTTTTTTTTATCGTTTTGTCCGATTTCCATCATATGCGTACGTATATTTTTTTAGAGATAATATATAATATTATTAATAAAGCCACTAACTTTACTTTTTAGAATTTTAATGATTAATTTATACTAAGATTTTAGGAGCTATAAATTTATAAAGGAAGAAATAATTATTAGAATAACTAAATAAGAAATCGGTTTAAAAATGGATTGTAATTTAACACTCACAACGCTGTTTATATATTATTTCAATGCACTTATAATTTTTTTGTTAGAACTCTTAGAACAAACTGTTTACAATAACGTATTATTTTAATGTAATATTTGGACATTAAAACAGTTTAATTATTTTCAACAACACAAACATATTTATTGTTGACACTTAATGCTATTTTACATTAGATGAGTACAGAATTAGTAGGGGGAAATTTTTATATATTTTATTTCTGAAAAATTATAATAAAGTTTAAAATAATTATTAAGCAATCTGCCTTGAAAATTGATTTATTGACGTGTGTCTAATTGTTCTCTATGTGGTGTAATTGCGCATATAATCGAATATCTGTAACTAAGCAAAAATTAAATGATGTGTTAAATAGTTATATGAGATGAAGATTTCAATGTTTTTAGTTGTTTTATATTTGTGAAAAATTATTTTAATTTATAGTGATGCATTAACACTTATCTTTTATCATTGCAGATGTTAATAGTTAGAAAGCTCTCTTTTATATTTTCATTCAATGAAGATAAAGAATGAATTCAATTTGATTGGATAATTTATTGTAAAGAATTAAATGGTTTATTTCGCTTATTCGATAATTCATTTTTTATGTTCTTGTGGTTTTTTTCTAGGGGACCTGCATAATATATTTTTATATTACCCTAATAAAAATACATTTTTATCGTATAATTATTTTTGTGGCGAGGGTTCTAGTTCCTCGTGAACATAGTTTATTATAACATATCAAGCAAATCTTTTAAATTACATTGAAAATTTATAAAACCGTTAAAATGTTTAAATATAGTTTACAATATCAAAAGTTGATATTTAAATAAATTGAATTTTTAATATCAGGTAACAAATAATTTTAGTTAATTAAAATATACGACTAGATAATATATAAATTAAAATTTTCATTGGTGAGAAATGAAAAATATTGAGTTTTTTTACAACAAGGATTAAAATCGAGTTTATATTAGAAACATAATTTATGTTATTATCATAAATGCTAGATTAAAACAGGTATATAGAGCTTCTACACGAAGCTGATACGGTATTGTTGGTTTTGTGCTGATGTTAATTTTTTATAAGTTCTGTCCATAAAAAATCTCAGCTCATATTTTAATGATCAAGTTGTTAATATGAAAAGAAATCCGATTTTAATACAGTCGAACCTATCATTACCGAAATTTGGAAAAAATATTTCAAATTACAAACAATCAAACAAATATCTGATAGTGATTAATATCACTATCATAACAAAACAATTAAAAAAACAATTTGAAAATTTGTAATTTTATAATTTTTGTGATTTAAAATTTAATTTAAATATTAAATGCTTGTTAAATTATTAGTAATATAAAATATTGTAATTGTTTTGTAAAAATTTCGATATTTCCTATTATTATATATATATATATATATATATATATATAATAATAGGAAATATCGAAATTTTTACAAAACAATTACAATATTTTATATTACTAATAATTTAACAAGCATTTAATATTTAAATTAAATTTTAAATCACAAAAATTATAAAATTACAAATTTTCAAATTGTTTTTTTAATTGTTTTGTTATGATAGTGATATTAATCACTATCAGATATTTGTTTGATTGTTTGTAATTTGAAATATTTTTTCCAAATTTCGGTAATGATAGGTTCGACTGTATTAAAATCGGATTTCTTTTCATATTAACAACTTGATCATTAAAATATGAGCTGAGATTTTTTATGGACAGAACTTATAAAAAATTAACATCAGCACAAAACCAACAATACCGTATCAGCTTCGTGTAGAAGCTCTATATACCTGTTTTAATCTAGCATTTATGATAATAACATAAATTATGTTTCTAATATAAACTCGATTTTAATCCTTGTTGTAAAAAAACTCAATATTTTTCATTTCTCACCAATGAAAATTTTAATTTATATATTATCTAGTCGTATATTTTAATTAACTAAAATTATTTGTTACCTGATATTAAAAATTCAATTTATTTAAATATCAACTTTTGATATTGTAAACTATATTTAAACATTTTAACGGTTTTATAAATTTTCAATGTAATTTAAAAGATTTGCTTGATATGTTATAATAAACTATGTTCACGAGGAACTAGAACCCTCGCCACAAAAATAATTATACGATAAAAATGTATTTTTATTAGGGTAATATAAAAATATATTATGCAGGTCCCCTAGAAAAAAACCACAAGAACATAAAAAATGAATTATCGAATAAGCGAAATAAACCATTTAATTCTTTACAATAAATTATCCAATCAAATTGAATTCATTCTTTATCTTCATTGAATGAAAATATAAAAGAGAGCTTTCTAACTATTAACATCTGCAATGATAAAAGATAAGTGTTAATGCATCACTATAAATTAAAATAATTTTTCACAAATATAAAACAACTAAAAACATTGAAATCTTCATCTCATATAACTATTTAACACATCATTTAATTTTTGCTTAGTTACAGATATTCGATTATNATATTTCAGTTAAGATAAATTTATATTAAATTTGAATTTCTTACATGAAATGTTACAAAGAAAATTTAAATTAAAATAAAATAACAAAACAACAATTAAACATAGAAAAAGTAAAAAAATGTTTGGTGGTATACAAATAAAAATTTCAATATATAGTGAATATTAAGAAAATTGATATAAAATATAAAAATAAAATTTCATTCATAAAAATATTAATTGAATAGCTCGCCAGCAATAATTTCATTTTTGTGTCTTAATCTTATAAAAGGCATAAAATTTNCTCTCACCGAACCGATTTTTTTCAACGATACGTCAAAAGATTACAAATCGTCTCTAGTCAATGACTTTAGCCTCAAAAATTGAAAAAATTTCCCTCGTTCGCCATAAATGAGGGAAAAATCCAAAAATATTTCAAATTTAAAAATCGCTAATTTTGGAATTTTTTTCAATTTTTTTTACTTAAAAGTGCCATACATTTTTCAAAAATAAACAAATCAATACAATTTTTTCATGAAAAGTAGTATTTATATAAATCTTTCATTCGGCATACTTTTTTTTTAAATCGGACTATTTCCCTATATACGGGGGGGTTCAAATCTGAAAAATGCATATAGAAAGTAGAACTTTTTCAACTTAACTTTTAAGTGTTCTGGAAAGTCTAACACTTTTATATATATCTTAAATTAAATTTTATGTGATATGTGATATAATATGAAAAAAAAATTTCGGACATTATTCTGTCTTGAAAAGAGACATCAAAGTTAATAAAAAAAATAACCTAGCACAGGGGGGTCGCGGCACAGTAGTGATATTGCATAATTAGATCAAGTATAATGATATCTGACAGTGATTAAAATCACTATCAAAAAAAACGCTTCGATGCAAATCATTAAATAGTGTTTAATTTTAAAAAATTGGTGGATTATTCCAAAAGCTACATGATCTGCTATTTCTTTACTAATATCCTGATTTAGATAAAGTATGTCGAATGAAAAAGGAATTATAAAAAAATATTATTTCTCATAAAAAAATTGTGTTGATCCATACACTTTTCAATGAGTTATAGCATAATACAGTTAAAAATTTTAAATACAAAATCGAGAATTTTCACACAAAAATAGCATTTGGTAGCCATTTTCACCGTGAAGACAAAATAATGTCCGAAATTTTTTTTTCCATAATAAAGTATATTACATTAGCTTGTATTTAAGATATATATAACAGTGTCCGATTTTCTGGAACACTTTTCTGTTGAATTTTAAAAATTTCATTTTTCAGATTTTTCATTCTGAGAAAGTGTTCCGAATTCTCTTTGCTGCATCATATTCTAGGTAACCAAAGAGATATTTAAATAAACAAATAAACTATACTTAATGTTATATTATTATCTTCGATAAAAATTGAATTTCCCATAAAAATCTAATAGAAAAAATAGCAGAATAATATTAAACATTATGTTACCGCATTTATATTAAGGGGATTGATAGTTTATTTTATATTTTTGAATCAGACAAACCCTAATAACATAGCTAAATCGAATAAATATATTAATATAATTATAGTTACCAATTTTTCTGGAATAATTTTATCATTTTTATTCGTTTTTCGATACATGCGTTTTTTTGGAATAATGGAATTTTTTATAGGATAAATATTTTTATTAATAATTGCTGCAAATTGAATATAATTTTAATAATTATTAATTAAATAATCAATTTCGAAAAAGGTTTTTAATATTAAAATAGTTAAATTAAAGTAAAGTCACTGAAATTTGTTATATATGAATAAGAGAACTTATTATTAATTTTTCTTATATTTTATATTAAAAAACTTTTTCTCTATTCGAAATAGTTAGTTTAATTATTAATCTTAATAGTTTTTACAGATAATTCTTCCATCTTTAGTTGACTTTTTTGATATTTGTCCTTTATTTGTATTATTTAAAACACAATTGGAATGCATGAAACGACGATTCCATATTTCTTCAACTCTGCGTATGACCTTATGTAAGTTTGATTCATTTGTTTGACCAAAAATATTTTTTTCACTTGCCATATCAATAACTAATTAAATAAATCTTAATAATTACACAAGACGATAGTTTATTTTTCACGGGAAAAAACGAAGTGAACTGAAATGTCGATAAAATCAACATTTACATCTAATTGTCAAGGAAACTTAATTGTAAAAATTCATTAAAAAAAATGTATAAGCCAATTATAAATAAATTTGGTATAAACAATACTTATTTATTTTAATTGTTTTATTGGTCAAAGAATACAATATTTTAAGAATAATACAGCGAATTATCAAAAAAAAATATATATATATTTTAAAGATATTTTAAAGAAAAACCTTTTGTATTTGTTTGTTTATTTATTACATTAGTTTACAAATGATAGGGATTTTTTTATGAAAGTTCAAGTGGAATAAATTTGATATCGGTTAACAGAATATTTATGCATATAAAATTTAATCTATATGAAATAAAATAACAACGTTTGGATTTAATCTCTTACAACTATTAAAAATTTTGCCCATGTGAAATTACTATTTCCATTTAGTTATTAACAAAAAACATCATGCCATGCGATTATAATCAACATAAAAATTTATTAAGTTGAATATATAATATAGTTTAACAATTGAATTAATAATTGAATTAATGACATAATAATTCTGATAAAAGAAAATAACAGGAGATTTGAATTAATTTTAACGACTTTAACAAATCGAAAATAACTTTAGGGTTTAACTACCTTATAGGTTTAATTATTATTTGCATTTTTAATGTTATTATTATTTTTAATGTTATTATTATTTTTAATGTTATTATTATAATAATTTTGTTGAGAACTTAAGTTTCTGAGTGATAGTGTCATCCAATAGAAAATTCTTAAATTATACTCTGCAGTGCTCAGACACATTTTTTAAAATAAAATCGCTTTTCATTAGTCAAACAACATTATATGTATTAATTTATAACTATGGTTCAAGTATTCTTAAATAATTTTAAAAATAGGTAACATGAAGTACTAAGTTGAGTGAAAATACGATCACTAATTAATTCGTTAATTGTTTAAAAATAATTTATTTTATATAATAGTTATTTTTGTTTCCGGGTCTCATTGGCATGTGCTGAGTTTAAATTAAAGGGCAAATGAAAAATGATAAAAAAACAAAGGTTCCTTGAATATCAATACGATAATTGTAAATATTTGATTAAAAAAACACATTTGTGCTGCTATCATTTAACCCGAAACTGCCATTGATATTATTGATTTTTTTTATTATTAATTATCTGTACAGTATTCAATCAGAAATTGAGACATTCATAACCATTACGGACAGTTCTGCTGCAATACCAGTACTAGACAAATATTGGCATACGCTTGGCCTGATAACGCTTTTCCATTATTGGCGATTTTGTATAACCAGTATTACGACAGCGCTCTGTCAGCAATGGCATTCTAGTACTGTCCGTCACCAATGCTGGATCAGTACTTAGACCAGATAAGACAGTAAGTATTAAGCTAATTTGGGCTAGCCAATGGCTGTTTGTCAGTAATAGTGCAATACTTCGCCCGTTGTCAATAATGGTACTTGACAAAAATGTCTGCCATTTGGTTATAGTAGCCTGATGTTTATTCGAGTGAATGTTGATAACCTAAAAAACACCGGAAGTTCATATGCAACTANTAATTTGGGCTAGCCAATGGTCGTTTGTCAGTAATAGTGCAATACTTCGCCCGTTTTCAATAATGGTACATGACAAAAATATCTGCCATTTGGTTATAGTAGCCTGATGTTTATTCGAGTGAATGTTGATAACCTAAAAAACACCGGAAGTTCATATGCAACTATTTATTACTCCTATGTGTTAAAAGGTTGTCGTGCCATAATAGAGTCGATGGTTGTAAATCGAAATAAAACATCTAGACATTTTTTCACGAATTGGAAATTATGTCGTACTGAAAAATACGTTTGACCTACGCGAACAACGTGATGTCGAATGACTCATAATTATTATTATAATGCAAATTGTCTGATGGGAATATTTGTTAAAATTTGTAATCATACGTTTAGTATATTTTATGGTTTTACGGGTGGAATAATTTAATATTTAAATTATGCTCTTAAAATGTATACCAAAATATTACTAAATTGTTTTGTACACTGAGACTTATCTAAATTTAGCAATAATTATATTGGTAAATAATAGGTTTTTAATTTTGCGATTATATTATGAAGGAAAAAAACAAAGACTTGTTCGTTAGAAATCCGAGCAAGAGTTTATGGGAAATTAGCCGTAACTCATTTGTAACATTTGATGAACGTTTGTAACGCGATTAATTACAAGTATACATCTAATTATGAAATATATACAAATAAATAATTACTACTAACAGGCATAAACATTTTTATTTGGGCGGAATCGACAATGTAAAATACTTCAAGAATATGGAGTTTAATCATTTGTAGTAATTATTTTGCTTATTCGTAGACGATAATCTTTATAAACAATTCGAGTTAAAACATTTCATTTGTAGTTCTCCTGTATGAGTAATTCTGTTAAAAATGAATCGCCATACAGCACTATGTCGTTAGACCACATAGAATTTCTTGACCTTGGCTAATTCTCAGTTAAGCTAGAGGGTATACGTTACGAATCCTCTGTACCAAAAGTGGAAACGGAGTAAAAAAATCAAGGGGAAATGGCAACAACACGTTTGGTAGTAGGGAAGTACTAACCTTCGGTCGTTGTTCGCCGACATTATACGCTCAGACCACGTTACTTGGAATCAGATTGACCGTAGCGGCCGAACGTGCACGTACGTCGAATGCGAACAAAAGTTAGTGAATAGTAATCGCTCAGTGCGTTTATTTTTTGTATTTTTTGTTCCGGCCGATTTTCGGTGTGTTTTACCCCAACTGAAGTCGCGGTATTCATGCAAGTACCTTTTTAAATACCAGCAAAGTATTTGCCACTCTTGCGAAGACAATAAACATGTCCGCTTTGTTCGCCTGTAATTATTACACCTGGTGGATGACGGTGTTGTTGGTTTTTTTGGTGTTGTATTGCATATTCGAAGTGCATTACTTCGCTAGGACCCTGTACTGTGCGATATCTTCATGTCTGTTGAAGAAGTACGTGCATGTCTTGGACACTACTTCTTACTCGTCGGCGTGCATTACCACGGACGTAGACTTCCTGCTGTTCCATATGAATAACTCGCGGTACCTGAGGGAGATAGACTTCGCTCGTACCGAGTTTTACATGAGGACGGGCCTTTGGAAGGCTATTCGGGACAAGGGCGGGTTACCCGTACAAGGCGGCACCAGCATCCGGTACCGACGATTCATCCGCACCTTCACCGTGTATAGTATTTCGTCCCGGATCGTATACTGGGACCAAAGTTCCATTTACATGGAGCATCGGTTCGTCAGCCGCGGTGACGACTTCATTAACGCAATTGTGCTTTGTCGGAACCGCGTTATCAATTGCGATGTCAACCAACTGATGGAGGAACTGATAGCCGAGGGCGCCAAGAAATGCCCCGGAAATACAGAAGCGCCCCGAACTAAGCCCGAGTGTCCGTTGGAGGTTCACCACTGGATCCAATCGAACTTGGTGTCCAGCGCCAACCTGCGGAACAGCAACTGATAGTCTGCGCTGGTAATTTCACAGAGATTTTTTGGTGAAACGTCACAAATGGTCATGAACACCACGAGGATCGTACGTGTTGTAACGGGACGACCACTCGGAAGACCGACAGCTGCAGAGCCGAGACATCAGAATATGTTTGTGTTATTAAAATATTATTTATTGTCGACTGAGAATTTGCATTTTAGTTTAGCACAGTAAGACTTATGATATTTAATAATTTTTTTTTTATGCTCCAGCTGGCGGCGAGTGTGTGTGTGTATGTTTTGAATGTTTAATAAGAAAACATTGTTATGATTTGTGCACAATACACACGCGCTTGCCTAAGGCCATCGGTTGATCGGTGTGCGGAATGTAAACCGGGGCCCCTTTAAACGGCTATTTTGAAATAATCCGTGAAAAAACGGCCTAAGAATGGAAGGGCAGACAAATGTAATCGATTCATATTTGATCAATAGTATTAAAAAGCGACTGAATATCTTCTAGTCTTTTGAAGCGACTTATTGTTGTCTGCGCTAATTATTCGCAAATAGGTTTTCATTTTTTAATGCCGGCTGTTATGACGTCTGAGAATCTGACGAGATTATAGAAGAATGAGATATGAGGCTTGGGGTCCGTTAGACTAAATTTTTTCACTCTGGAAACATCAAATAATTTTTTTTTTTTAAGTAATAAAGATTTATGATTACCTAACACATGACCGCCACCGCGCCGATCTCAATCACTTATATTGTCATAAATGTAAAGATATTGTGATATTAATACCGTAGCGTTTTTTTTTTTTTATTGTGAATTTTTATTATATGTACAATTATTTTATATTAGAGCGCGTGAATAATAGAAACGTGCTAGTTTATGTTTTACGCTGTCGCAAGGGCATTGACGTCGTGTAATGTTTATGTATTATGTTGTTGAATTATTACTAAGGAAAGAAAATTTACAAATTGTATGTAAACCATTACTATAATATAGCCCGTGTGTTTACGCCTTAAAGAAGTTTTTTTATTTCCTTTGTTTTTTATTGCTGTTTTATAAACGAGTACGTTTATATTTGATTTAAGACAACTAAAAAAATTGACATGTTACGGTAATTGTATTAATAGTTCAATATATATCAATTAATCAATAAAATTTGGACGACAAGGAAAAAAAAGTTGTATGATTTAATTGTACAAAATAGGTGGTGTTGGGTTAAGATCAAACCAGTGGCGTAACTAGAAAAAAAACAGGGATTGCCAAAATGTTGCAAAACTCACAATACCCACATTTCCCCTCTATCCGCCACATTAATATAGATTGCTGTATAACTGAACTAACAATTATGGCTTATCAGTGGCGTAATATTGAAATGTCACAAAAAATGCGCAAAAAAGTATTTTATTTGCTACAATAGTAGTATAATATAAATGTAAATTGATAAAACTGTTGTACATTTTTATAAGTAAAAATACTTGGTTAAAACTATAGGTATTCAGGGTAGGTACTAAAACCTGGGGGTGCTGAAGTACCCCAGTAGTTTTGCCGCAGCTCAAACGAGTTTGAACAAAAGATGATATTGACTGTAAGTCCGTACAAATTATTTACATTTTTCATTATCAAGGTCTGTATGTAATTGCAAATTAGTTATACTTAAAATTAATATGAATAAAACATGCATAGAATATTTACATGAAACAATCAAGGAAGTGATCTAAGATTTTTATATGGTAGTTAAGAATTGTTGAGTTCAGTTTTTAATTGAAAATATTAACTAATGGATAAGTTGCAATAAGCCATTAAATATTTACATTTTTTATCTCAACAAATGTATGAATGATTATTGATTCATTTCTTTTTTATTAAATCAATGTATAACAAATAATTTTACCTGTCTTTTGAAATAATTGATTTGTGTAATTTTTTAATACTACATAAAAAATAAATATATTTGTTAAGCGAATACTTTTGAGAAAAAATAGATTTTTTTCTTATTATATGTCTTAATTAACCATTAAATAGTAATTGTTCGCTAAAGTTCACTAATATAAGTACATTTATTTTTAATAAACATTTAAACAATAAATTTCCTATTTATAATTTTTTCATTATTATTTAAAAAATAAATAAGTAAAATTAACAGGATTTTTAAAGAGTAAGTTTTAAATATTAACCAATAAACTCTAATTATTAATAAATACAAGTTTTTTACAATTTAAGAGGGAATTAATAGAAATGTTTTGATATCTAAATACAATTTTTTATGTTGGATATTTATCATATAAACAATTTTTCTTAAAAATGTTTTCTGAATTATTGAATTTAAGGTTTTTCAGTATTAATTGTTATTATACATAATTTTAAATAATGTTTTTACTGGATCATCATTTATTTGAATATTTGCATCCTGGGTATATTATTTGATAATTGTAACTAATAATAATTCTTATTATATTGCGAGTATTTATATTCTGTTCTTGCTTATTTTGTAAAATAAAACTTTGCAATAATATGCCAAAGAAGCAAGTACTTACACAAAGACCGGTTCTTCGTTGCTTCATCACTAAATAATTTTTTAGTTGTATAACATATACAAATTGATAAGAAAATTTTCAATATTGATAGCTGTTATTTATACATTAATATAATAAATAAGCAAAATAGCTAAAAAGAATATATTGATTTTCAGTTAATAAAAACCGATTTTTTTTAAATCAATTTTAACTATACATACAATAACTAAGTATTTCAATTTAGACAGTTCGCCATAAAAATGTCTAAAAAGATATATAGTAGTGAGTGTGTGTACACGTTACCTACCTGTAGTGAGATGAGTAAATCTCGCATTGGTGATATGCACTTCGCCTGCTTTATAAAAAATTCTATAGAATAAAATGTAAATAAAATAGACATTTTTTTAAAATGTCGATAGATTTGAACAAAAATTTAATAATATTTGTTCATAATATTGCACTTCATTGGAATAACTATAGTTATTGAGTAATTATAGTAATTAAAAAATCAGTATGATCATAACAAAATAAAAATTAATTTATCTTTCCCGTTTTAAATGTTTATACATAAAATAATTCATGTTAATATCAAAATATATTGATATATTGAATATTGATATCAACACTAATATTTAATATTTAAACGGTGTGCATTTGTAAAAATAAAGTGCAATAAATTAAGTCAGTCAGCCACAAGTCAAGTTAGTTTTATTAGTAGGCTTATAATATTTATATGTTATAAAGGCCTAAGTATATTTATCTTTCAACATTATATCACACCATACAAATGTAATAAGAGCAAATGATTCAAGTATTTGCCTCCTTGGCCTACAACGAGATAAAGACAAACAAAACCGGTTTCTTTTTGTACTTTAACATAACGGCTGTTTAGTACTTTTTTACTCGCATATTGTCTCTTTGGTAGCTTTTTCAAGAGTCCCACACATGTAATGTCGTGATCAACAACAGATTACAATTTACATTTCAACCAACAAATGTTAAGTTGATGAAATAATATTTTGTGTTATGTCTAAAACGACGAACCAGCGCAGTAGAGTATTATAGTCGTTGGAACAAGTATAAATGAAATCTGACAGTATTTAATACCACTAACATAATAAAATGAAGCAAATATGTTAAATTTTTTGTTAAAATTGTATATTACAGTAAATTATTATCGAACTAATTAAGCAAGAAACTTATTAAAAATTGAATAAAATTTCAGCTGTGAATCGTAATTTATCATAAATGATTGGTAATTAAAACATTTTTTTTAAAGGGCAACTCCTACAATTTAATACACTTTTTGGATAGACATTAAAAGCTGCAAAAATATTTAAAAATTAAGATTTAAACCTTTTTTATTTTAATAATATTATGGTTAAATGGGAGTACTAACTCCCCCTCCTGTATGACTATAATGTTTAAAGTATAAGAATTAATAATTGAAAAAAAAAAATTAAACCAGAAATTATAAAAATACGAAAATGATGATTTTTTACACAAAAATAATAATTTTTGTTTTCTACTTTGAGGGCCGTTTACATTCAATGTGATACCCTAACTATTTTCAGGCAAGGTCTTCAAAAATATTATTTTTATTTTTAGAAGATTTTAGTGTTTACACTTTAAGTAATAAGAAAAAAATAATTCTACCTCTCTCTAAACATACATGTTTAAGTTCCCTAACAAAAAAAAAAAAAAAAAAGTTCGACAATAACTTTTAAAGACATAAGTTTTTTTTTACATTGTGTCGAGTGAAAAAGAGTGATTCAGACATTCTTAGAAGCAAAAATAAACAGACCCGTACTTTATCTCTATCCTTAATTTTTAAGAGTTAATAATTTTAACTTCTGAAATACTAGTTTAAAAGTTGTTATCGACCAGTCATTTTCTTCCAGATAAACATTTATGTTACTATTGAAAAATTGTAATTTGATGAAAATTTAAGAAGGAAAGAAATGAAACAAATCAATTTTGTTCCTCGATAATAAAAGTGTATATTATGTTTTCTTCTATTTTTGTAGATATTACTAGAGATAAGTTAGCAGATCAGTCTGAACAGAAAACAAGTCGTCGGGTATTAATTTCTTTTTTTAACTGGTACTATACTATATATATATTTATTTAATATATATTTAAAGGATACCAAATTTTCGGAATATTTTCAAAAGTTGCAAAAGCTCTACTTTTTATATGAATGTTTCAAGTTTTGAACAAAAGTAAAAAATAAACACATTCTAATTAATTAATAAAATCTCAGTTTTGCGCTAAAAACCTGAGTATAGATAATCAAACTTACTTAATGATTTTACAATAAGAAAAATATAAACATATTTTTTTTTATTTATTAAGTCTTTAATAAATAAGGAAGTAACATGGACTCATTAAATTTTTTTTTAGTAATTATCCGATGTTTTAGTCACTATTTTTATTAACATAACATGAATTTATCAAAATAATGACGTAAAATTATTTGTTGTATTATAAAAACATAAATTAAAATTTTTGAATACTAATGTTTTATAATCATTTAATAATCGCCATTAATTCAAATTATAAAACTACTTTTTTGCTCTCCATAAACGTTAGAGGTTGCGCAATATTATTGTACCTTAAAAATTACTTTATATAGCAACACATAATTTTCTAAATTTTTGGTTTACTATATTCTCTACATCTCTTACCTATTTGAGACTATGGGTCATATGATATCAAAGGTTAGTAAAAATTGAGAACACAGCGAAAATGTGACCAATATGAATGATTAAATTTATTTAATGTACATGTTTATTTGTGAACATTGATTATCATCTCTTACATAAATAATATTTTAAATGTTTTTGATATTTGGACAAAAAAAAAGTCATAATACAACTATACACAAATATAAAGAAATATGTTATAAACGTGTTTAATAGCTATTTCATTTTAACCTGGTAATTTAAGTATTTTTTTATTATGAATGTTATACAGGGTGTTGAATTTTTCTGGAGGGATATATTTAATACCCTTCTTCAAAAAATAATTTTTATATAACAATGCATGTAATTTTGCTAAATTTTTGGGCAAAAGATCGTTGTCCCCTTTACTTTTTACTTTTAGTACCCCCAAATATTTTAGTGAATCTAAATTCGTTTTAGGTCATTTAAATTTTATTTTATAAATATATATATATATATATATATTTACAAAATATTGTAGGGCTTATTCTTCGTCTAAAAATATTATTATGATTCTACTATGTGATGATATTTATATTATATTTGGTAGCACTGTTATAATCATTTTAATAATAAAAAAGAATTGAAAAATTCTAAAAAAATAATTAGATAATTGTTTTTTTTTGATGATTGAACTGATGATGTTTGACGAAAAAATATATAATGGGTTGATAAATAAAAAATTCATAACAAAAAGAATATAAAAAACAAAACAATAATAATTTTTTTTGTTACTTGTTTGACATAAATATATCCATTCAAGTGATATCAAGTAAAAAACTAT